TTCGGTTTTCAACACTACATCCTTGATTAATACCCGATAAAATTACACCAGCTACAATTCCTTTTTTAGGGTCTTCCCCGTTTCTGTAACTAAAAGCGGGGGTTCGAATTGTGATGCGACCCATGCCCCGCCGCGTAGTGAGAAGGTACCTGCAGATGAGCCTGCTGTCCTTGCTTACGAAAACCTGTTTGAACCGGTTTAAACGCCGACTGTGCGCCCATTGCCCCACGGCCCCTCTGCAAACTTCCCGACATTCCGTATGGCATGTTGTCAAAAGCACGCTGCCGCTGAAGATTCGTATGATACCTTGCGTAGGAGGGGTGGTGATAACCCAAAGCGGCAGCACCCCTCCCCTGTGGCCACCAGTTCTCCCTCGGGAGGAAGGGGTCGCTGTAGTGCTGTGGTGGGAGAGGGGGGCGGTGGTGCGATGGCCTCAAAGTGTCTTCTGTTAATGACGTCGTCTTGGCCCACAACAGGGGTGGGGAAGATTCTCGGGTTGACCAAGGATTCTAAAAAAGAAAGCGCAAAGAACGATCAAGGATTGAAAACAAGAACGCTTCAAAAAAGCACAGCTCTGTACCTAGCACATCGCAGCAAACTAGCGTCTGAGATAAATGATCTAGGCGATTACGAAGATTTCGTAAAGTCAGCTTTATTTAAGACCACGTGACAAGTGACTATCAATTCCGTAGGTCTTAAAGCGGTTTCTCTTGAGTGTCGAAAAGTAATTGATTATGCATTACTACGCCACACGATTGGCTCAAAAAAACTCGCGCCACTTTTTCATCCAATCAGAAGTAAAATCAAAATCAATTCTGACTCGCTCGCACACGTCTTCCCGCGCTTCGCGTCAGCTACCTGAATTCACTTCCAAAATTGATTGCTTCGCTGTATTTTCTGTGTCCTTTGTGATTGACCAGATTGATTGATTTGGTTCTTGTTTTACGACATTCAATTGAAAACCGCTGTAAGTGACGTACTATTTATTATGCACATAGTTATATGCGCGCATAATTATTATAAACATATCGCATGACCCTCCCTTTATTGTTAACTCCTCTGATACTGTTAGCCCACAAGTAATCTCTTCCCTCTCTAATGAATCGTTGCCTTAGAATTGAAATCAAAAGAAAGAAAAACGACAGACAAATGTGAAAACTGGCATTAGCACCAGTTCTCGTGCGGCCATTCCTATAAGGTTTTCGCTTCTCAGTTGATAATCAACTTGAGGGAAGAGACTTCTCCTAGCCCATTACCTTCTGCGCCAAGTCCTCCGTACTCCAAGGCTTTCCGACATTTGGCATAAAGGAAACATTTTCACTGGGCATTACTTCACAACTAAGGATAAATCACACAGAATGTCTTAGCAACTAACATAATCAGTCATAAAAAGTCGAGCTCTGAAAACCGTTCTCGGAACGAGAAAAATTGTCTACGAAAAATGTCAAAATACGAGTGCGAAGAGCATGAAAAAGAAGCGAAAGCACTAAGACTACCAACAAGCGACTACATACACTGTACTCTTCGGGTGTAATGGTGACAACCCTTGTTACCCAAAATTAAAGGAGTTACGTCACGGTACCGCGTCCTGAAAAGTTTAGCCTAAATTTTTCAACTTCGTCATTTGTAATCCGTGTCAATCTTTTCCATCCTTAACCATCCTCGTTTCCTCATGGTTTATTATATTCTCTTTCGTGTTTTTCTGGGTTTTTTTTAACCGTTATTTTCAGGTTTCCTTCAATTTAAAGGTAATTTTGTCCATGGCCAAAATAACTCAAAACGCCGTGACTGAGCATATTCTCAACTCCTGATTACCACTGTAAATTCTACTCCTTTGAGTTAAGCACTCCAAGAGTGTCTACATCAATTGCGTAGTATCAAAACATTTACATACACTTTATGCGTTGTTAGAAAAAGTACCTTCCTCCACGAGCGGCAGCCAGCAAGTCGGGTCCAGTAATTCCCAGCCCTAGAGAGAATACAGTCTTCCCTCGTCCTAACCTGTCCGTGCTCAGGGATTCCTGGGATTGATTCCAGTTGCTACCAGAAGCCTAACAAATGAGCAACCGATATCAAAATCAACGAGGTTTACTCTAGAAGCTATAACTCGCGTGAATTTCTTCGAGGCAAACAGCATGACACCACTGTACTCTCCTTGCTTGTTCAGTGGTTTCATCAACGTTTTCTGCAGAAGGGCAACTGGTTTTCACAGCTGGGCAAAGTTTTGAACTTCTTGACAAGAAAAACTTTCCTCTTGATGGTCAAACCAGGAGGGCAAAATCACCATCACAGCCGGCCAATTTGCCTGGTCCTGGCCCTCAATGAAACCCGTGTTGTCGAAGATACATGTACAAGTACTCTATGCTACGAATTTGTTTCAGGTTAGAGCACTGGTAGAGAATTTTCTGTTGTGTTGCTGGACTGTAACAACACCCCTTACCATCCTCTAGTATGACTGGGTTTAAAAAGAAATTGTTTATAGAGTCGGGTTCCTAAATCATATTTACTACAATAAACCCCTTTACTTAACCACCCTGATTTGGCTATATTTTTGTCTTTCCTAGAATCACAAACATTCAAAAATGTAAAAATAACTGCATATCGAACATTCTTACATTGGGAATGTTGGCCCAGACTGGGTTACCATGGATACTGCTTCCGTAACTTGACCACTTCAAACCGAGGTCCAGAAGACCTGGGCCTGAATTACTTGGTAGCAAACTCTCATTCAGACTCTTAGCATCTTCATTACCATCATCACTCTTCTCCTTGCCGGGGAAATCCGACAGGGACCAGCAGCTGTGGTACAGAGTGTCCTGCGAGCCGTGCATGTCCTTCTTGCGAAGCGGTGAACCCTCAGGATTGGTGTTACCACTATCAGAGCCATCTGACGGAGGACTGGCTTTTTCCCATACACTCCTTTTGAAAAATAGTCATTTCGTTATTTTACGTAATTATTAAAACAGATGAGGAAAATTGTTGATTGCTAGCTTGAGAGAGTACACTAAGCTCCCAATCTAACAGCCTGGGTTCGAGTCCTGGCTGGGGTCAATGTGTGGTGCTTGGCGAGATGCTTGACTTTCACAGTTCCTTTTTCTATCAACTTCAGCAAAGGGGTGGGGGATCTCTTTACTCAGGAGTATAGACGGGTACCAGCAAGTCATTGTTACAGCCAACTAACAGGGTAGTAGAACAACACTCCATTAATTTGTTTCATTTAGACCACTACTATAGACTTTTTATGTACAGGTTAGCACTTTAACACCCTGACCACTTGGCTAAGGGAAGACTTAGGCTTTTGACTGCAGTCCTACAGATACAACTACCACAAAGTAGGCTTACCTAAGGCTCTCACTGATGGACAATGTTTTATCGCCATCACACTCCTCTGAGCTGACCGTCACTAACACAGGACTGGGCGTCTTGCTTGCTTTAGTCTGTTCATCATTTGCCACACTCAACTTGGGTGAAGCAGCCTTGGATACACTGTTTGGACTAGAGACACTTGCATCAATAGCATTTTCCTTGGCTTGTGATGCAGGTGATGGTTGAGGAGTATCACTCTTGTCGTCGCCATCATCAGTAGTTTTAGGCCCACTTTTTGTTTTGCTGTCATTTTCTGGCAACACAGGGCTTTGAATCTTCTCATCAGCTCCTTCGCTGTTTGATGGTTGATTTTTCTGCTCATCACTGGCTGGTGAGGGAGGCCTGCATTGCTCCTTGTTGGCGGAATCTGCAGATTTCACTAACAATACTGGACCCACTTCAGATGAAAGAGAGGTCTGTGTCTCTATGGTAACCATTCTTTTGGAAGGCTCTACACTCTTACACGAATCCACATCAGGAGTTTTAGCTCTTTCCTTGGTTTCTGATTGGCTACAAGATGCTGTTACCTCATCCAGAGATTCCTTGTTGTCCGTTTTTTCACCTGCACATGTTGGCGCAGTACTAGCCTGCGTAATGCTACTCAAGGCTGCACTGTATATGCTTCCCAAACCACTGTCGACAGGTGTCATGTGACTTTCTGCCATGCTGGGATTGGTGTCGTCTTCACTTAGTAGTCGAAGTTTGATTGGTGCACCCGAGAGAAAGTTGATGACTTCAGTGAGCTCCTCTTGAGAAGCCAATGACACTTCACTGTGAGAATCTAAACAAAGATAGGTTTTCATAAATTAGACAAGTCTCTGACTCATCTTAGCCTTACATGATAAATGATGAAAAGTAAAATCAATTTTTTAAAACTAAAGACAGCAAAAACAAACACAATAAAAACAACAAAACCTTTGGATATGTGGCAGTGACTTACTTTGGATGGTAGGCTTAAAAGTCGGCAGTGGAAACTGTGGAACAGATTTTGACCAATCGCTTGGTGACGAGGGATCATCAGGTTTGCTTTGCTCTTCAGTAAGCTTCGCTGAGCTACTTTCAGGGGCCATGGACTGTTCTTTAGCCCTCCTAGCCCAGTGCCGTGGGCGTGGTGGGGGTAGGGGTGTTGGGTCCTCAATGTCTGTGTCATGTTCATCGCCTGTATCGGTGCTAGATGCTACAGATGTTCTATAACCTAGAAACAATAGAGATAGACCATGACATATACTGCACATGTACATGTACATGTACTAGAAAGCACTTGCACACAAAGGTAGTCATTTCATTTTGAGTGTAATTTGGAATATATGCATATAAGTAGCGTTGGACAGAAGGGTCACAAGTGTGACACCACTTATGGCTTCAGACAGCAAATACGCTTGACAGGACTTAATTGTTCCAGTCGATCTTACCAGCTCTTGGCTACTTAAGGAGCAATGTATTTGTTACAGGCCAGACACTACAGCAACAGGCGAGTCAAAACTTTATGAACATTTCTGAATAATGTAAAACATTGTTTTAAGGCCAAAAAGATGCAGTTGCATAAGGGTAGTGAAAAATCATTTGTAGTTGTTATGCTTTACCAACCTGTAAGCTTCATGTAAGTACCTGAATAACACAACATAATACAATGCCAGTATAATGCACAAGCCTTGAACCTTTTTTTGCTCTTTCCAGTCTTAAACGTTAAGCTATTGCATTAGCTTTGATTTTGCAATAAAGGCCAGGTGATGGTCAGCTTGACATGGCTACCAGTGGTGTGTGAGAAATAATATTGTATTATTTGTAGCTTCTAAATAGGTACTACAGTAAAAGCATTACATGTACCTGCTGATTCCTGTCTGGTGCCTGCACCAGGAACAGCATTCAGATTGGTTGCATCAGCTACCATATTTGCGCTACTGGCAGCCTTGGTTGCCACAGACTTCCGTGAGAATATCTTGGATGTGGCTTTGGTGAAGGTTTTCCTAAAACTTTTGTGCTTGTGACTTGGTGATGCATCAAGTTTAGTCAGCAAGGGTGGAGACTTGGAAAGGTTGCGACGTTTTATGTGAATTGCAGGCAGAGGTCTTTCTCTGAAATGTTATAAAGAATTTTATTAATATACATTACTTGCCAACTGGGAGGTCAAAGAGGAGAAAATCTCTGCCAGAGGTCTTGGGCAGAGTCCAAGGTCATAAGTTTGGGATAGCCCAAAACAGTACTCAAACCATGCTAATTAAAAATACAGTAGTTGGTAGTTCTTTACTTTCTATTTCAGTGGTCTAGAGATGGATTTCTGCTATCACAAAATTTTGTGTGTCCATAAGAAAAAGAAACTGAACAACTTGGTGGTAAAAGGGCGTTTAAAGTGATTTTTGGCTTGCCAAAACAGCTCCAAATTTTGCATGCAGGTTTGTTTAGGTGTGTTAAACAATGTCCCGTCTTTTTCTTTTATTGTATATTAAGCATGTGATTCTGACATGCCCAGCCATTCATGCAAATTCCCTATGTGCAATTACAGTAGAAATCAAGATGGCTGGATTGGTCTTCGTCTTGGTCCATAAAGATGCAAAAGAGACCTTGGCCAATATTTGACCTCACACTTGGTCAATAACCCATATATAGTAATACCTGCTACCGCCTTACACAACAGACAGTTTATCCAATCTCTCTTAGCTTGGAGGAGCCCTACTCTTACAGAGCAAATAATCACTTACAAGTAAATGTACATAAGGAGGACTTGCTCAACCTTGACATTTAACTACCTGAAATAAGTTACTCACTTATCCTCCAGATAGTCCATCAAACTAAACTTGGATGTATAAACAGCATCAATGGTACCCAAAGGAGATGGAGAGTCCAGGTCTTTTAACAGACAAGCAAATGTGGTAGCATCTTCTGTAATGACCCTACATGAAAAAAAAAANTTGAGTTTGTTGTTGGTTCTTGCCTTGTTCCAAGCGTTTTTCTCCGGGTTCTCTGGTTTTCCTCCCTCCACAAAAAACCAACAAACCAAATGAATTCCAGTACGACCAGGATAGAGGGTCACCCGTATGAAAACCAGGTTAAGCTGATGTGGCTTCCTCTCTAGATATTGTAATATACTATTTTAAATTTAGAATATCTGCCATGCCAAATTTGCAGAACTTTCAGTTGATTACAATTATAGGTACAAATAGATACATTAACTAATCCCAAGGGAACTTGAACCAAGTGCATTTGTAAGGTAAATGATTGTATGATGAAAATAACCAAAATTGTGGTCTCACCAATTCTTAATTGTAATTTAGGAATCTGCTTTAGGATCTGTTGTTCCATTTCTTGAATGGTGACAGCTTCTGTGACACCTCCAGCAGCCACAGCTTCTAACTCACTACAGCATCCCTGTTAAAACCAAACATTGATTCTGGGTTGTCAGTACTACATGTATTTCATGATCTCAGCCAGCTATTCTGCTGAGCTATTTTTCAGATTCTTTAGAAAACCATGGCAAAATCACCTGCCTGCTCCAACAATAAAGCTTCCTACTTCAAAGCTATGTGATATCCCTGCATATTATTTTATTAATTCAAGAATCACAAAAGGTATGGAAAACATGACTGACATTAGTGTTGTATTTATCCCTGGCACCCATAACATGATGAAACTTGAAGTATCACTTCTCTGCCTGAGTGGGATGCTAATCAATTCAACCAATCAAACTTTTAAAGAGGGTAGTGCTCACATAATACATGTAGTAACTTGTAAAACTAATGAACTTGTGGTCACCTAAATAAAAAACAATTGAAACTTGTAGGAAGCCTAATTATTTAAAAACCCAATTAAATATTGAGACATAAATATGAGACTAAGGTAACTTCTCACAGGTAAACCCTCCCCTCCCCAAAAGGAAAAATTTTGTCTGGTTGCCCCAGCAATTAGCTTGTATTGACAAATATGCTTGAAGAGGGAGGAGTATTGTGAGAGGAAAGTGTCGTTAAGACCTTTCAATTGATGGTCAAATGACTTTGAAAAGATGCTTGTTATACATGTAGATGGTTATTCATCAATCTCTGGCAAACTCCTGAAGCACATCAAAAGCTTGCATCGATAAATGCTTGCATGCTCCAAAGGAAAGGCTACAAGTTTAAATATTTCACAGTGAAACATACCTTTAGAGCCAGCTCTATTCCTCTGGGATTCTTGTGAAAGCCAGCAGGTATGTCTGCTTCTGGTGTTGGTGCTCGATCAAACACTTTCTTGTAATTCTAAGGACAAAAATGCATCAGTAAATACCTGGCAAAATTATGTAACGCAACTCCAAGAAATTAAGGGGAAAATGTCACTTAGCATAAAGAAAACTGTTTTTTGGTACCCAAAACGACATTTTTAACAATTCGAAAACAACAGACATTAAATTTCTCATATCACGAAAGTTCAAGGTGACAATTCTCTTCAGAAAATCAAAGGGGATTAAAGGCCTTCCAAACAGATAATTTATCGAAATGATCTGTTGGGTGCCCCTGTGTAAAGTACATGAGTCTTCCAACAAACTAAAATTAAAAAAAGAGGTGTGTACTTAAACTAAAAACCAGAGGTGGAGAGTAATATTAATTTAAAAAAAAAAAATAATAATAATAAAAAATAACAAAAACTGTGCTTTTTCTCATTGATTAAATAGTACATGTACCATAAATCCTCAAATTAGCACCC